ATAGGTAATATATGTACTACACATTGATTAAAAAAATACTTATTACACAGTAGACATTTAAATAGCCAGCTAGAGGTGTTAAGTAAGTCAATCATTTATATTTTTACTATGTCATTGAAACTAATTAAATAAAAATTTTGCCAGATGTTTGTACTGTATCCCAATACATATAGTTTGCACGACTTGCATGTAGATGAGTATGGAACTTGTAAACATATTTGCTACATCAGTTGGGTACTCTCGATCCTGCCATTTGCTATATTTCGTAGAAATTACACTGGCAAAGTCTTGTTTCCTTTTTTTTCCCTTATTGGGTATTTCTATGGCCCTAACTATGAAAAAAATACTGGGAGATTGCTAACAGCTTTCCTTTTTGAAATATACAGTATGTTAACAAAATTTCTATTGATCACTATCAAATGATCTTTTATAAGATTTCCTTGAATAAACAACTTTAGGTAGATCTCGTTGCAAACTCCAGTAGTAGTCTGCCATCATATGTCCCACCAACGCCCATGATAATGCTCTTCCATTGTCCAAACATCCTGATGGAATCTTTCACCCTGCTCCTCACTAAAATCACCCAGACTTTGTCGAAATTGATCTAAATGCGAGTGCAGGAAGTGGATTCTTATGCTCATGTTGCACCCTAGCTCCTGCAAGTTCAATAACATGGACTCAACAAGGCTAAGGGCTATAACGATGATGATGATTGCAAAAATACCACCACAAGTATTTTCTTAGGTATAATGAAATTTAATGTTGGTTTCTGGAGTAAGAATTTTTTTCTTTTAAACAAGATGCTAAAATTCAGATCAAAGTTCAGATCTCTTACGAAGTCATTTAGGTCTTTCTGATTAAATGGTTGAGGTTCTTGGCTAAATTTGTAGTCTGAATCAGAGCCTTCACTTGATGTATTTTGTTCGGTTGCACAAGGATTTGGATCATCAGAAAATTGAGATGTGCTGGGTTTTACACACTCTACTCTCGTGATTTTAATTGAGGTCGTTGAGCAGAAGATAAGTTAGGATATGACCACTTATTACGAATACCAGGGTTAATTCCGTTTATTTTCTTAACACAGAAGTAGTAATTGTCATAATGGTTTTGAGATTCTCTCCAAATTATGGGTGTTACAAACATTATTGCATTTCTTTTTCCACTGGACCATAACCAGAGACATATCACACATTTCTGGCATGGCTTTTTCCTGATTCATCATCATCATCATTACAGCCATTCACAAGTCCACTGCTGAACATAGGCCTCCCCCAAGTAATGCCACAAAACACGGTCCTGAGCCACCTGCATCCATCTACTTCCTGCATGTGTTACCAGATCGTCACTCCATCTAGTGGGGGGTCACCCTACACTACACCTACCAGTTAGAAGCTGCCACTCGAGAACCATTCTTCCCTATCGGTTATCGGTTTTATATTTATTTTCCTAATTACACAATTTTATTTTAGAGTATTGATGATACACAGTTTTTACAAAGTCCGATATAGATAAATATTCACCAAAAATATAGCAAAAACAATTGGGATTAAGCACACAGCATCTTCTTGACGAAGCCATATTGAACACAACTAAATATATTTCAGTGTCCAATAAAAAACAAATTAAGTGAAAAAGTAAATGAGGGTAGTTAGCTGTAACTTAAAAATAAAAGCCTTTAGAGAAAAATTGTTACCATATATAAAAAATATGTATCATTTGAGTTATAGATCCACTATGCACCCACCTACTTTTGTGTATTTGTTAGTCACTTCAGATTTATATAAACAAAAACAGATAAGGTTCAACAAAATTGGCACTTCACTTAACCATTACTAAAATTCTTCTTCTCTTCTTTCTCTTTTATTTGCATTGAGATGTAAAGTACATTCTTTCGTTAGGTTTACTCATTTTTTTAAACTTGGGAAATCACAGTTTAGATAAATTAAGCCCTTTTTGTACCTTTTTTAGAATGATGGTTATTAAGGAGCACACACTACCTGATGGTATGTAAATGCTGAAGTTCCTAAAATCCTAGAGTTAGTAGCCTAATGGCAGGGCACTTATCATGAACTCAAAAGGTTGTGGGTTCGAATCTACCATTTGATTACTGTTGTGAACCACTCCTGACACAAGCTTTTCAAGCTTACCAGGAGTGGTTAAAAGGAATATTAGTAATATTAATTGATAAGATTAGTAATATTTAAAAAAAAATGGGAATAAAAATATCTAATCTAGCAACACTCATTTGTAAAAGTTGAAAAATGTTGAAAAGATAAATCAACTGGTCAATATTCCAAATTAAAAAAACTAAGCCCCGTGCCCAGTATGGGGCATAATATGTAGAGTGTTGAGAAAAGTTACAGCCTATAAACATCCCACTGCAAAGAGCAGGCGTCCTCTAACTTACTCAAAGAGGGTTTTAGGTCAAGGAAGTGTCTGCCGCACAGTCCCAACGAGTATTGATAGACTACAGATGTCTTCGAAATATTTTTATTTCTCAGACATGCAGGTTTTCTCACAATGTTCCTTCACAACAAACAATTTTCCTTCACCTCTAAGCATGAGGTAAATTAGCACTTAAAATTGCAATTATATATGTACAAATTTTCACGAGATCTCGCCTCTCTCGTATATTTACATGACTGAGTCTCGTACAAGTTTTAAAGATCTCGCAAGATTGCGAGTTTGAGGGAAGAGCATAAACCATGTGTGTCATTATGTGGCTGCATGTGAATCGCAAAATAGATCCATGCCGCGCTGTGCCTGTATGTAATTATTGCTGCCGAAGGCAGATTTAACAAGGTTACATAAAGAAAGTGAATCTATTATATAATATAGGATTTTAAGAATGAAATTATAACCTTCATAGGCATCTTCCATCATAGGGAGGATATTTGCCACAGTTGCCACGCTCTGCAAGCGGGTTGCAACCATAATGTTGTAGCAGCCAGGCTAATCAACCCTAAATAATATATACCTTGCTGCTACCATAACACAGAAGGCAAAGAAAACATTTATTTTTTAATTATCCCCGGCTGCTGAGATACTGCGGGCTGCATATCGATGTGAGATAATTTGACGTATATATTTAACGTTCTAATAAAGAAACAAGAAACAGCCGCAAATATCATTCAGCGCCACATCGTCTTCACATGCCGCTATCGTCATGTATACGTTGACCATCTTTGAGCCGTTTCTTCAAGCCGTAGCTCGCTGTTCCGGAGCTGTGTCCCACGCCGCCACCGCTCGCCGACTACGCGCGCGCGCCGGCCTGCACAACTTTTATAGCCCAGTCCTGCGACGTAGCTACGAGAAGATATACACGAGTCTCACGCCGGCAAATGGAACGCACATAATAGTTGTATTTTGATTAATCTTTATTGGTCATAATGTAATAATTGTAATTGGCTAGGCAAATAAAAATTGTTATTATTGGTAAACTAACGTAGCCGGACATATTAATATAGGCAGGGTTGACGTAAAAATGTAATCCGTATTCCATATTCAATACTCGATACACCATTCGTTTGCATATAAAATAGTAGTTTCATTTCTCCGCCACTAGACCACTCGGAGTCTGTTAATAGTGGACCTCATATTACCACTATTAACATGTTTTTATTTTTAGTTGTTATTAGGAAGACACTGCGACCTATCTCCCGATTTGTTTCTCTCTGTTGCCTCACAACACCCACGGGATGAGGTTAGTGGATATTCTTTAACCACACTTCTCCATCTTCCTATTAACTACTTTCTTACACATATCACCTTATATGACTCTTATATGTTTTCCACTTTCATATTTACAATACATATGGACTTTTAAAATATCTATGGTGTGAAATGGGAGAATGGGTTACTTTTTCTTGCAACCACATAGTGAACATTCACACACAAGCAAGATTTCAATACTGAGATCAGCAGAGGAGTAGCATTAAAGGTGTAAGACATCTAATGCTACAATTAACAATGCATCTTTTAAGTTCTTAAATTGTTATTGCACATAAAATATCACAACTCAATTTACAAAAAAAAAAAACATTGAAAATAGTACATTGAATGTCAGATGTCAAGCCAAAAGGAGTTCTACTATAATTTTTAATGTCAAAACATTACAACTATTGTTTTGTACTGAAGTCAACAAAATTGGCATTATAGGAATATAAATAACAATAATTATAAATATATTATTATATTAATGATGTTCTCAAAAATAAATAAAAACAATTAAGAATGTATAATATACTGAGTTTTAAGCAACAATGTACTATTGCTGTTCTTCCCACTTGAAAATTATAAAAGCAAATACAACAAAGCTTAGAAAATACTATTGATACAATGAATCCCTGTACTTATAATAAATGTAGGGCAACTCATTCTGTAAAATATTAAAAACATTGCACGACCCTTCACAACCACAGATTTAAAAATGTATAGTAATAATATATGTCAATATGGTAAATCACTATAGAAGATAAATTCTGGACATATTGAAATAAAAATATACCAGTGTAGATGGAGATTGGCAGAATTATTGTATCCTAAACACAATATCAAAGGCAATATTGAAGAAGAAAAAAGTAAACTAAAACTATTACTGCTTAATTTCCCATAAAACATCTTGCAACAAAAATACATATGGTTGGAAAACACAAAATGAACATTTGCTAATGTTGATCCATATTCATTAAAAAAGTTCTTAGATGGAGATCATATAATCTGTTAATCCTGATTACAGATAAATGCTCTCTGTTATAAACAAGACAGACATATATGACAATTCTGCTGTTTATACCAAAAATAATGAAGTGTTTAGTTTTATTCGATTTTGTAAGGAATTAATTTTTGTTGTCATAAATATACTAGTTAGGTGCAAATTGCAATCCTTTGAATACCGTTTATCAATACAATGGTTCATCAAGGGTTACGAAAAACAAAAATGACAGGAAAAATAGCAGTTATATTTAAAGTATCGTATTATAAATGGACATGACTGTTACCTGTTTGGTCAGAGCCATTCTTGAGACTTTCGTCGGTCGGTTTCTCTTTCAATGAAGACAATAAGCTGGCAGCTGACATAGCTTGCAAATCTTGTACACAATTTTCTCAGTCTTCTTTTAATATATTAACTCTACTAAAATTCTAAAATACCTAACCAATATTTACAAAAGAGCTCAGGAAATTATTCTATCACCTATGTTGTATTGTTTATATCACAGACTTTTCGTTTTTCACTAAACAATACGAATAAAAACGTCCACGCACGAAAATACTATCAATATTTACAATACTACATATAATGAACTTATTTACACATTAAAAACTAATTTTATCAGCTAAATATTAACAAATACGCTGTAGCGGTCACGAGATACTCATAACTAAAAGAATTTATCAGTTTTCAATGCAAAAATATATAAAACGTCCGCCATATGCCTTTTGAAACCTTTATTATAAGGCTAAAATCCAGATAGAACTCGTATAGAAATAATGCAGCAAAAGTGTAGTATTTTTGATTCGGTAGGCTTATATCCAGTTGCCATTGTTTAGTTTTTTGATATAAACGGCGTTTTCCTTTGTGATGGATTGTCATAAGAGAAAGTACTTGATTTGGACATATTATGATAGTGGAAATTTTTGGCCATAAATGATTAAATTAAATAATTTAAAAAAGTTATTAATAACAATGTTTAGAGGTATAATATATTAAATTTCTATACATTTTAGTATTGAATTAGGGACGTTCCGATCGCTAATACGATCTCAATCCGATCCAGTGCCCAGTGGTTTTTCGAACTCTAATCAAATGCAAAGGATTTTCTATGGGATCAAGTCAAATACAAAAGAAATTGAATAACGAAGATTAATTCATTTTTACTATTGTTCAAACACGGCCGAAACTTGATTTTTGTTTACTTTAGTATCTTTAAAAGTAAGTGCTTGTCACATCGACACGAAGGCTTCAGTTCTTCGGGCGAAGCCGAAGACACTTTGGTCCGCTCAAGCAATATACTACGATTCTGGCTCCAATGTCATATCAACAAGCTCGCATATCATGGAATTTTATCCCAATGAACTATGCTTGCGCCTTGTACGGCTTCCTTTTTTTTTTGAATAAACTTCTTATATGTAACAAGCTCGTGGAAACTCCATGCGGTCGGAGCGAAGTTCTGCAAGACCCGTCGTGGAAGAGCCCAAGAACTCCGATCTCACTCTAAATCTCATAGTTGTTTGACGGGAAATAAAGCTGAAGTCTTCAGCAGATATAACATCATACAGGCAACTAAATTGACAGATCTCCAAATGCACGGCGAGACTTATGCAAGTTGAATTTAGCTCGTATTGAAGAAGTGATCGCGCGAAACATAGGCTCCTAAGTTTTTGCCACAAATCTGTCTGGCAAGAACAGACAACTGTCAAAGCTGAAGACCGAATGTGTTAGTCTCGCTTCAGAGACACGTGAGATTTTGAGTGAGATGGAGAAGTTCTACGGGCAGCTGTACACGTCATCGTTGGAGCCACATGCAAGCGTAAGTAACGATTTAAGAGCAAGTCTTATACGACACCATTCTAATAATATCCCGGCCGTCAGTCTAAGCGAGGTTAGAATGGCTCGCCTGCACCACCTTAAAAACGACAAGACCACGAGCAATGATAGAATTATGGCGGAACTTTTGAAAGCGGGTGAAAAACCAATACTCGAAGTCTTTCATTAGTTCTTTAAATCTGATCTCCATGGTGGCACTACTCAAGAGGCGTTGCTCAAAATTAAGGCAATCATTTTGATCAAAAAAGGCGACAACGCTCTGTTGAAGAACTACAGACTATTTCTTTTCTTAACCGCTTCTATGTTTTGTTTTCGAGTCATTACGAACCGTCTCATACGCAGACCCGACGACTTGCATCCTCCCGAAAAAGCCGGTTTCTGAAAAAGCGACCATGGGTAGTTCTTCAAAACGTTCAAAAATATTTTGCCGGACTTTAACATACAGAATTGTTGGGCCTTGTATATTCAAATTATTTTTGTTAATTAGTACATAATTCAAACTACATGGCGCATTAAAAAATGGGAAGAAACCCATATATTCCTATAAAATTTTGAATATATGTCCAATATTTTCATACATAAACATAAACACTCGTGCCTGTCACCCAGAGGGGTAGGCAGAGACTACAGAATTCCATTTAGCACGATCCTGATCCGAAACCTCTCTCGCCTCTTCCACATCCATATACCTACGCATACATGCTCGTCGGTTAAGGGTACTTTTAATTTGGCCCATTTTTAATATATCGCCAATTTGGTCGACAAACTTTAGCCTACGACGTTCTTTTCTGACTCTTCCATTCACTTTTGCAACATATATTTGCTTTGTCAGTCTTTCCTCATTCATTCTTTCTACATGACCAAACAACCGAAGCATTCCTTTCTTAATCCTGGTCACCGCATCATCTTACAAACCACACTCTTCTTTTATCACACAATTTCTCACCCTGTCACTCAGATTCAGCCCTAACATACTCCTTAGCGAACGCATTTCTACTGCATTTATTTTACTCTCGTGCTTCTTCTGCCACACCCAACTTTCACTACCATACGTTAAGGTAGGGACTAATACAGCACTGTGAATTGCCATACGTGCTTTTTTTGACACATTCTGACATTTCACAATAGAGTGTATAGCCCCATTTACTTTATTTCCTGCATTCACTCGTCGTTCAATATTGTTACGAGCTTGAGGTTCGTGACAAAAAAAACTGCCGATTTAATTACCAAGATTTATACTTTAATTCACTTTACACTAATTAAACTTAAAACACTAATAATTAATCACACTGATTCACTTTATTCCGCTCCGAAGCTTCGATTGTCTCGCCAAATTCAATACTTCCCCGATCGCACCTTGCAGCGCCTATAAATACACATTAGCACCGAAACATCAAGAACATTCAAGTAAATACGCGCAAGGCGTCGAAAGTTCGAGTGTCGGCTTCTAGAAGCTTAGTTCTTCGTTTCGACACCAGATGGCGCTGTCGGTTGAAAGATTAGTGACGTCATTTTCTGGAAAGGTTCCCCCCGCTCTCGTCCCTGACACTACATGACGTCAACTTAGGCGCGCAACACTGCCCCCTCCTAAGACATACTCGTCCCGAGCATTATCGGCCCCATAATAACGCGCCAAGCGATCAACATGGACGATCTTAGGAGTCCCTCTTGCGCCTTTCTGTATCCGGTAGGTTACATCGTTGATCCTGGTTACAATCCGGTACGGGCCGTCCCATTTAGCTTGAAGCTTAGGAGATTTCCTTTTGCTGCGGACTGGAATATGCAACCACACTAGTGAACCTTCGTCGAACCCTTTATTGTTAATTTTGCGGTCATATCGGGTTTTCATCTTCTCAGACATTTGCTGGTCCGATTGTCTGACGTGCTCATAAATGTCATTCATTTTATTCCGCAAGTAATTTGCATAATCGGTTATACTGCGTGGGGCATCAGGTGGTAACACGGTGATCAAGTCTGCAGGCAGCCGTAATTCTCTTCCAAAGTTTGCGAAAGCTGGTGTCACTGCTGTACTTTCGTGAACAGCGCTTCGATATGAGAGCAAAAACGGTTGTATGTGCTTGTCCCAATCTCGTTGCCGATTGTCTACAACTTTTGCTAGGTACCTCTCCAATGTCTGATTAAATCGTTCTACCATTCTATCAGATTGCGGGTGATAAGAAGTCGTTCTTGTTTTATGAGTACCCATAACTCGGCAAGTTTCTTGGAATATTTGAGACTCAAAATTCCTTCCTTGATCGCTGTGAATCTCTAAAGGTACTCCAAAACGACAGAGGACTTCATGAACTAGTTTATCTGCAACTGTTGAAGCTTCTTAATTCGGAATGGCGAAGACTTCTGGCCACTTAGTGAAGTAATCCATCACAACCATGAAATACTTGTTACCGCTTTCACTCTCCGGAAACGGCCCCGCCACATCAATGGCTATTCTCTCCCATGGTGCACCAACATTGTACAACTTCAACGCACCTCTACTACGAGTCTGAGGTCCCTTTACAGCCGCACAACTTGTACATTTGCGACACCAGTCCTCGACATCGTTTCGACAGTGGACCCAGTAAAACCGTTCTCGGATCTTCAGTAGAGTTCGTTTAACTCCCAGATGGCCTCCTGAATAATCGTTACGGTACAGCTGTAGAACATCCGGTACTTTAGCTTTAGGGACAACCATTTGCAAATGACAGCTGTCTCCCCGAACATTTTCCCATTTACGGCACAGAACTCCATCCTGAAGCAGCAAGCTGTCCCACTGGGCCCAATAGCTTTTAGTGGTTGAACTCATCGCTGAGACGTCGCTCCACTTAGGCTTGGTTGCTACCAATGGGCCTTCATCCATTCCAGAATCGGCTTGATGTCCGGAACTTCCTGTTGTGCATGTCGTAGGCTGTCCTTCCACTCGTTGCTGAGGTGGTCTGTCCTGAGCATCCTCACGGATACCACTTCCTTACTCTCTTGCCTAGTACAATGTTTCCAATCTTGAGGACAAGGTCTTCTTGACAATGCACCTGCGTTGCCATGAGATTTCCCGCTGCGATGTCTGATAGTAAAGTCGTATCCCGGTTGCTGCTGGGCGGTGATGTTAGCCGCACTTCCCTTCTGAGATCGTTCACCTTCCCTTTCTAGGGTTCGCTTAGGACAGCTGGACCGAAGATGGCCCTTTTCCCCACAGCCATAGCACCTAGGGCTGTATCCTTTATTGTGGTCGTGAACCGTAACTGCTGCAACCTCCCTAGCGTGAGGGGAACGATGATCCTGCCACCGACAGGCGGTGCCGTTAGCTGCACTACCCTATCGAGATCGATCAACTTCCCTTTCTACGGTTCGCTTAGGGCAGCTGGATCGAAAATGGCCCTTTTCCCCACAGCCATAGCACCTAGGGCTGGATCCTTTGTTACGGTCGCGAACTGTAGCTGCTGCAACCTCCCTGACGCGATGGGAACGATGATCCTGCCGCACGGCTTCCACCTCCAGTGCATGAGCTAAGGCGTCCTTAAGCGTCTCGTGGTGCCCGAGT